GTAAACCTAAATTGCGGAAGATAACCAAAACTTGCGGAAGTAAAACAATTTAAAAACAAAAATAAAGCATTAATAGTGTTTAATTGTGCCTCTCGGCATACACCATATACAAAACTCAAGGCCAATATCCAAATCCAAGACTCGGAAACCCACGAATCAGAAGCTAAGAAAAAGAGAAATACTACATAGCTCTAACTCCAGAATTTGTCTAATAAGAACAGAAAGTGTTGAAGGGTTATATACTAAAAGTAGGAATAGAAAGGGACTCCTCGGTCTGCGGACACGACAGATGTACCTTGAAGTCTCTAAGTAGTCAACTCCCTCAAGGATGGTAGGCCTGAGAAGAAGCACCTGGATTTGAAAATGAAAAACATGCGCAGAAGAGGCATGAGTACACCACAGCGGTACTCAGTAAGTGCCAACTCTAACCTCGATCGGGTAGTGACTAGGAAGGTCAGGGCCCTACTGAGATCAAATAAGATATAAGGGCTAACAGTGTGAATAAAACAGTATAAATAAGTGCAACAGTAAGAAATAACATAGAATTGAAAGAACAGCAATAACTAGAACAGAGACAAACAAAAAACGGAAAGAAATATCGCTCAACACAGAGATAACAGCCGGGGCACCTTCTAGGATACCGTCCTGTAGTCCATCATATATGTGTCCAAAGGATCTCCCGGGATCCATTCCCCTAGTCCAACTATCAATGTGCGGGGAATCTACCGGAATTCTCGATCCGTAGTCCCCAAATATAAATACCCAGTACTGGGAAATCTACCAGGTGCATTCCCGTAGTTCCATATAATTGTGCCGGGGGATCTATCGGGAATCGAACCCGCAGTCCCAAGGTAATTGTGCAGGGGTATCTATCGGGAATCTAACCCACAGTCCCAAAGTAAACCGACAAGGGAGGGGGAGCTACCGGAATCCCACATCCGTAGTCCCAATTTAAACACACAGCAATAGCAAGAAGATATTCAGAAATGGAAATTTCATATCAAGGCAACAAGTAATTCTAGCCTAACATGCTTCACATAATGCAATCAAGGCAATTTAAGCGAATAGGCAATTTAAGTCAACTAAACATGCTTTTCTAACTAACAACATGCTAAATTTACAAGCATAATAAGCAGGAAAAGAAATATGCTAATGAATACTTTAAGAAAATAGGATTTTGAATAATTTGCACAAGGACACGCCCGTCACCTCACGCACAAGGCAATTCAGTTACCAAATATACCAATCCTAAGGGGAAGGTCCCCCACACAAGGTTAGACAAGCCACTTACCTCGAACAAGCTCAAATCAACCCGAAACCACGCTTTTTGCCATGAGTATCCGACTCCAAATGGCCTGAATCTATTCAATTGCATTTCATAATGTAAATAATACTTCGAGTAGCTGATTCTACAAGTAAATTCTAAACTAATACGCGAAATTATGTAAAATGACCAAAACGCCCTTCGGGCACATGTCTCGGAATTGGGTGAAATATATATTTTCAGAATCCTCACACTCACACGAGTCTAATCATATAAGAATCTCTCAAATCGGATGTCAAAAACCCAATCAAAATTCAATAATTCGGCCTATGATGTTTATAAAATTTTTCCCAAATTTTTCCACCAAATTCGAAATTTAAAGCGTAGATTTAAGTTAGGAATCATGGAAATTGATCTACGCTGAGTAGAGATCACTAACCCAATTTACCCAAGTGCAAAAGTCTTCAAAAAACGCCCCTCCCGAGCTCCCAAATTCAAAATTGTGAAGATAGGCTTAAACCCTCGAATTGGGATTTAAAGAAATCTGCCCAGATATTTTGTGCATCGCGATCGCGAAAGGAGGCCTGCGATCGCGAAGAGCAAAAATTGAAGGTCCTTGTATTGGTTATGCGAACGTGACAGGATGTACACGATTGCGGAAGAGGAAAAGGAGAGGCTTACGCGTTCGTGAACAAGGCCACGCGATTGCGAAGGGTAAAAGGGTCACTGAACCACCGGCTCCAATTCTACTATGCGAACGCGGAAGAGGGAACGCGAACGAGAAGAAGGAAAGAACAGAATTCCCGATCACGAGCCAATCAATGCGATCGCGAAGAAAAAATTGATCACCCTCCGGAATTACTCTACGCGAACACGGAGGAAAGGTCGCGAACGCGATGAAGGAAACTAGATACCAGATTTTCTGCAATTCTACAAGTTCCAAAAATGACCCGTTGAGCATCCGAAACACACCTGAGGCCCCCGGGGCCTCATCCAAACCTGCCAACCAATCCTAAAACATCATTCAAACTTGTTCCAACCTTCGGAACGCTAAAAACAACATTAAAACACCCATTTTTCATCGGATTCAAGCTTAGGAAATCCCAAAAACTCTAAAAACACATTTTCGATCAAAAAGTTTACCAAACCTCATCTGAATGACCTGAAACTTTGCACGCACATCCCATATGACATTACGGAACTACTGCAACTCTAGGAATTCCATTCCAACCCTCGGATCAAAATCTCACTATCGAACCGGAAACTTCTAAAATTCAACTTTCGACATTTTAAGCCTAAATTAGCTATGGACCTCCAAAACACAACTCGAACACGCTCCTAACCCCAAAATCACCCAACGGAGCTAACGGAACCATCGGATTTTTATTTCGAGGTCGTCTTAACATTGTTCCAACTACTGTTAATTCTCCAACACTTAAGCTCTTATTTAGGGACTAAGTGTCCCAAAACTCTCCGAAACTCAAAATCGAACATCCCAGCAAATCAAATTAGCAGAAATAAACTTGGGAAAAATAGTTAATAGGGGAACGGGGCATTAATTCTTAAGACGACCGGCCGGGTCATCACAACTATTGACATTTATTAGCTTGCCACTTGGCTGAACCATAATGTCAAATATATATGGTAACTTTCTTGCTTTAATATATATATATAGATATAGATATTCTTTTTTCCGCTTCCGACATAAATCAAGAAATCACAGAATACTTGATTTTGATTTACTCTCATATTTCTTATTAGCCAGATCTTTATCACTTGAGGTCATAAGTATGATTTAACCAAGCCAGCACAAATAGTCTACACTCTTGTGGAATTTTAAACTATTGGTAGCACTTGACGAAAATCACCTCCAAAAACTATTGCTTTTTCACCAAACAATTTATCAATATCCATTATATCTCTAAAGCTCTTGTAAATTATTCTGACCGTCTAACACCACTCCATTTGCGCTTCATCCCATATTATTAACTTTTATTTTCTTATCAATTTAGCACCACCACTATGCTTTGACATATTTTTATGATCGTTTAAATTGTTTGAAGAGGTATGTCGAATCTAAAGTGAGTCGTACAACCCTTTACACCATGTTATTGTTGTTGCTAATATTATCATGCCTCTTGATCTAATATTTATAAATAATGCACGATATAGGAATATCTTTTCAGTTCCTCCAGAGCCATCTACAAACAACCTCGTTCTATGAATAATCGATTATTCGTAATATAGTCTTGAAAGTTTATTCTTATTCAGGATTTAGCTTTAAGTATTCATTAAAACCTTCCTCATGCACTTATATGGCCTTTTTTCAATAATTTTTGTGTATTACGATGTGTAATACATATGTAAAGTATAAACAATAACTATTCGACATGCACAAGTTATTTAAGTTATTATCTTGAATAAATTCTTTTTTTTTTTTACTTTAGAAACTATCTCAAGAAATTCCCCCAAAAAAAAAAGGGAAAACCAAGTTAGTGGAAAGAATATTTAAAAAATTATATATATATATATATATATATATATATATATATATATATATATAT